AAACCCTAAACCCTAAACCCTAAACCCTAAACCCTAAACCCTAAACCCTAAACCCTAAAGTCTAGACCCTCGCCACCCACCACCTGGCCCCAAGCGCTCGCCGCAGGGCGCCCTCTCGCCCGCGCACTCTCCCCACTGTCCACCCCCAAACCCCAAACCCTAAACCCTAAACCCTAAACCCTAAACCCTAAACCCTACCTGCAAAACCCGATTTCGAGCAGCTCCGTGAGCAAGTCCACGGAGTCCTTTAAGTCCCTTTTATTTGGAGAGCAAATCAACAAAGAAGCAAATTCGAACTGCAGCCGGGGACAAGGGCAGCCGCTCTCCACTTGCTGCAGCCAAACCCTGAACCCTAAACCCTAAACCCTAAACCCTAAACCCTCAATCCTGGGTCCTGGATCTTGAACTACAGCTGCACGACATATATGCATGAGCGCACGAGTAGAGGTCTGGAAAAGCAGCAGCAGGTGAGCAGCAGCAGCAAGTGAGCAGCAGCAGCAAGTGAGCAGCAGTAAGGGAGCAGCAACAGCAGCCTAGCGGAAGCAAAAGCAGCAACAGCAACGCAGCAGCAGCAAATGGAAAGCAACAGCAACTAGGCAGCAGCACCAACACAGCAGCAGCAGCAACTAAGCAGCGACAGCAACAAAGCAGCAGCAGCAACAAAGTAGCAGTAGCAACTAAGCAGAAGCAGCAGCAACTAAGCAGCAGCAGCAGCAGCAGCAGAACAACAGCAAGGCCAGAATGTCCCACCTCGATGTACTTGGCTCTTAGGGCGTCTGTTTCTGCCCTGAGATCGAAGCCGAGGGCCCCGCTCATCTTCTGACCAAACCCTAAACCCTAAACCCTAAACCCTAATCCCAAAACCCTCGCCGCTGCGCTGCAAACCCCCATGCGCGGCCAGGGAGAAGCAAAAGGAGCTTTTGGAAAATGTAATGGCAGCAGAAATGCAGAAAAGCAAAACAGGAAAACGGGGGCAAGAGGTTAGGGTTGCTGAGGTGTACATACACCTCAGCGGCTA